AACTCAGCAAGAAGCTAGGCTACCCCCACCCCACTCCCAAAACCCCTCTGGGTACAAAAGCCTTAGCCTGGCATCCTCCCCACCCTCCAGGACCCACACAAAAACCTAAACAATTGGAAACATGGCCAGATCCCAGGTCCGTGCCAGCGCCAGCCATGGGGGTCCCACCCGCTGGGCACAGTGCCCACAAGAAGGCCAGCTGGACTCTAGCACTGGGTGGGCAGGGTCTCTGTGGGGATGGGGTTCCCACAGGAGGGAGGGAGAGAATGGGTATGCCCTGCCTCTTCTACAAGGGGTTTGGCTGCCCAGCACCCTGGACCTCCAGGAGCTAGACCCTTGCAGAGTGGGCGGTCACAGGGCTAGGTGGGACCTGTCCCAGCTGTTCTCAGTATTGCTGCTTTTTTGTTTTTTGTCCTGTTTCAGTCCTGGTTCCTCTGATAAGATCGACAAAAGAAACAACAAAATGAAAAGAAGAGGTTCCTCGAAAGGGGGGAGAAGAAATTTTGAGACATGAAAAATCCCCCAGCCCAGCCCAGCCCAGCCCCACTGAAAAGCAAAAATTAGACGTCGTCAGCCACTCAGCCCGTCTCTCCTCCAGCCCGGGGACCCCTACGGGCCCCAGAAGCAGCCCAGTTCTCAGAGAGCCCTGGGAAGGGGTCTCAGCGGAGCTGTGCACCAGCAGCCAAGCAGAAAGAAAACTGCAAAGCGGACTCTGTCAGTAGAGGACAGAAAGAAAGGATGCAGCTGAACTGCCTTCCCCCCCACCCCTCCCGGCATTCTGGGGAAGGAACAAAGTCCCCAGACAAAGCAACCAGCACATTTGGAAGGGGCCTGGCCCCCACCCTCGCCTTTCCTAGGGGAACCCCACCCTCCATTCGGGCCAGAGCTGCCCTAGGGAGCTCGGAGGACCAGCTTGTAAAGATGATGGGGTGTAGATTCCGCGGGCTCTCCCCTCCGATCCTGCCCCTTCCTCCCTCCCTGCCTCGGCTCCAGCTTCTTTCCCCAGTAGCTCTGGACCAGGCCTCCACTTTCCCTGGCCCCACCCTCGGGCTAAAAGACCCCAGGCGGGCAGGGGGTGACCCCTGGAGATAGTAGTGTGAGCCCAGGACAGAGGGTGTTGTGCCACCCCACCCTGAGCCACAGGGGCAGTTCCCAGGGCCCCAGCCCCTCTGTACAGTCCGTAAGAAAATGTCGGAATGCCCTGGACGGCCTCGTCCGCGCCTGGGACCGGCTCCCTTTCCCCTCTCTCTGCAGGCCAGGAGGGCCTCCCTCCTGCCCCACCACGAGGGAGGGGAGTCGGGCCCCAGGTCGCCCCCGCCCCCAGCCCTGCATGCAGGTGCCCTCGCTCCGCCCCGTCGGTCCCCGCCCCTGCCCCTCACGCAGACAGCCCCGCTGGGGCCAGGCCGGAGAGTGGAGAAGGGGGCCCCCCCGGAGCCGAGCAAGGAGGACCAGGCAGCCGCCACTACAGTCGTTAAGCCGCCACCTGCACTTAGGTAGGCGTCCTGCTTGCCGACTTTCAGTTCCTTTGGAGGGTGTTGGGTGTCGTCCTTCTCAAAAGTGTTTTGGAGCTTTCTGTGCCCCCCACCTCCCCCCACTTCTCTCTGGATTTTAGCTGTAAAGTCTTTACTCTTTATTTACGGGTGGGGCATTCATTGTTTGGGTCTTTTGCTGTTGGAATTGGGAACTCCTCCATTTGAGCAACTTGGGAACAATTTGGTAACACACCACAGGAAGTAGCTCGCCCCCCCGCCCCCTCCTCCCCCAAGGGATGGTTGGGGGGCCTGTCCAGAGGGTCTTCAGAAGCCCCCCTGGGAGGGCGGGGAGCATGCGCACGCCCAGCCCCCCCAGGGTGTGACTCGGCCCCTCTGGCTTGTCTTTCTGTGCCTTACTCCCTCCTCCCTGCGTCTCCCCTCCCCCCTCCTGGCCCCCTTCTCGAGTCCTTGTGCCTCTCTCTCTTTCTCTGTTTCTTAATTGTATGAAAACACAAAGCACAGGTCAGGATCCTCTGAAAGTCAGTCAATCCAACATTGCACCACGTAGGGGTGGGTTATGGGCTTTATTTATTGTGAACCTAGTTTGAGGCTGTGGCCCCGAGCAGGCGGAGGGAGGGAAAGAGGGGAGGGAGCCACTTGGGGAGGGGCGGAGGGCCATCACCTGAGGCTGGGGGGCCGGCGAGCGGCGCCTCCGCCCCAGCTGGAAGCCACGACGTGGCTGGCCCCAGGGGCGGCTTGTGTCCGAAGTGGAGCGAAGCCCTCCCCCTCCTCAGCGTGCCCCCCGGGCGGATCCCGGGGCTGAGGGGCCGGGCATCCCGCGGGAGCCTCGCGG